CTACAAGGCAATGCCAGTGTAGGCATCCTCTCTACTGTTGCTTAGGGTCTTAGCTGGGGTAATTGTTGTGGATTCCTGGGTATTTCTCTAGAGCTAGTTATCTTTCTAGCCCCATAATGGCTCCCTCAATTAAGCTATCTATCTCATTGTTTTCCATCTCTGTCCTCCCTTCTTGAACATGCAGTTCCCTCAAATTCTCCTCATCCATTCTTCTCCCCTCTCCTTCCCTTCTGCCTTCCTTTCTTCCCCTAGACTCATGCTTCCATTTTTATCAGGAGATCTTGTCTATTTCCCCTTCCAGGGTTATATATATATATATATATATATATATATATATATATATATATACATGAATACACACACACACATATTTCTAGTTCTACCATTAAAATGCAAATTTCAATATGTCATTGTTTTTTATGGCTGAGTAGTATTTCATTATGTAAATGTATCACATTTTCTTTATCCATATTTCAGTTGAGGAGCATGTAGGTTATTTCCAGGTTTTGCCTATTATGAATAATGCAGCTATTAACATAGTTTAACAAATGTCTTTGTAGTATGGTTGAGCATTATTTGGGTATATGCCCAAGAGTAGTGATGCTGGGTCTTGTGGTAGGTTGATTCACAATTTTCTGAGAAACCGCCGTACTGATTTCCAGAGTGGTTGTACAAGTTTACATTCCCAGCAGAAATGGACAAGTGTTTCCCTTACTCTACATCCGCACTAGCATAAGCAATTTTTGGTGTTTATGATCTTAGCCATTCTGACCAGTGTAAGATGGTTTTGATTTGCATTTTCCTGATGGCTAAGGACATTGAAAATTTCCTTAAGCGTCTTTCAACTATTTGAGATTCTTCTGTTGAGAATTCAATGTTTAGTTCTGTACCCCATTTTTAACCAGATTATGTGATATTTTGATATCTAATTTTTTGAGTTCATTATGTATTCTGGAGATCAGTACTCTGATGTGGGATTGATAAAGATCTTTCACTGTTCAGTAGGCTGGCTTTTTGTTTTATTGACTCCTTTGCTTTAGAGAAGCTTCTCAGTTTCAGAGGTCCATTTTATTTAGTTTTTATCTCATTGTCTGTGTTCATGATGTTATATTTATATTTGGGAAGTGATCTCATATACCCATGCATTGAAGGTTAATTCCCACTTTCTATTCTGTCAGGTTTAGTGTATTCAGATTTATATTGAGGTCTTTAATCCATTTGGACTTGAGTTTTGTGCATGGTGGTAGGTATGAATCTGTTGAAGGAGAGAAGGCCTGCTTTTGGTCCTGGCCACCTGGCTAGCACACACCCAAAATAACCACCCAGATTTGTATTAATTAAATCACTGCCTGGCCCATTATCTCTAGCCTCTTATCGGCTAACTCTCCCATCTTGATTTAACCCATTTCTAATAATCTGTTTATTACCACGAGGTTGTGTCTTATCGGAAAAGATTCAGCATGTCTGACTTGGCGTCTTCATGGCGGCTTTCTCTCTGACTCTGCTTTCTTCCTCCCAGAATTCAGTTCTGTCTCCTCACCTACCTAAGTTCTGCCCTATCAAGCCAAGCAGTTTCTTTATTGATTAACCAATGAAAGCAACACATAAATAGAAAGACCTCCTACACCATTTTCCCTTTTCTGTTTAAAAGGGAAATTAGGCTTTAACTTTAACATACAAATTACATATAACAAAACAGGTATCAAATAAGAATTACAGTTATAGTATTTATATTTACTTTATCTTTTATTATAACTAAGGAGAACTATAAATTCTTCTACTCCATCAAAGACTCCAGAAGGATGTAATATTACCTAAGTAAACAGGAAGTGCATTATAAACAACTTCCAAAACTCTAGAATTGACTGAGACATCTCGCTGCCTGGATATTCACCCAAAGTTCTCCTGTACTGTTGGGGCATCCATCTTCAGCCCACAGGCCCATAGTATCCAGCAGACATTTCCATAAAGCCGTAAAATTTAAAGACAGTTCAAGTCACTTTCTTTTGTGTCCTGCAGAATGTCTCGCAGACTCTTTCATGAAGCAGGAACCCCAAAGGATCATCTCACCTTTAGGCAAGTTCAGCAGTCATCTCTCTGTGGGTACTTTATGTCCTTTGAAGCAGTTCAGGCAAGAGCAGTTTCCTGCCCAAATGGATAACCAACTCCATGAGGAGCCTCTTTGATGCCCATCTTCCTCAGGAAGTAGCTTAGTGCTGCCAGGAGCAGACATGTCTCACTGTCATAAAAAGTCCTAAGTTATTAAAACATTTTAAATGCCATATTCTGTAGTCTTTGAAAGATATGAAGAATGTCTATCTATCTGAAATGCACATCTAGAAAATCTAACAACAAACTTCACTAATATAGAGATTATCTATTATCTTATATTTCTTAATTATCTATTACATTAATAAATGAGCTACACAATCACAATACCTTAATCAAGATCACAAATACATATAACAAAATTGACCTTAAATTTGTATACATAAATCAAGATTTATACCAGTGTAAATTATTCATATCTATATCATATCCCTTTTAAAATGTAAAAGAGCATTTATAAACAATATTTGGGAATATGGGCATAGTTTTTTCTCTCCAAATTGCTTCATGCTGTATGGGGGCACTGTTAATCAGATCTTTTATTGTATATCATGTGTGCTAGCAGTTGGATGAAATAATATTTTGACGATGTTCATAGCAACCTTTCAGGAGGCCTTGGTTCATAAAACCATATTGGTGTAGAAGCAATCCACAGGTTCTCACCTTCTGTGAAAACAAAAGAAGAACCTCTTTTCCAAAGCACCATATTCTTAGACCCAGATTTGAAAGTCATGATACCTTTATAATATACATGCTGGATTAGCTTAGCAGCACATACAATGAAAAGTCTCTCTGTACTTAGTTACTTCACAGTCAAAAAATTTAAAGAAAACACAATGATATATAGAATCCAGACTCTGTAAATTTGCCATTTTATGTGTCTTATTTTTTTACTTCCTTTAATCTATGATTATCTGTACTCTGTCTCTTAAAAGACTTTACCCTTTTTTAAAAAGCATTAACTTTATTTTATGACTCTGTATACTCTATAAGCCCTCATAAGCCCCTCTTCTATCCAGAAGGGAATATTTAAAACTTCAGTTTTCTACAGGTATTTTGTGTCTGTTGGTTTAAAGTTCATATTTTATTGACTGTCATATCCAGAACACAGCATTTATGTTTACTCCTCCAAATCCTCTTGCTCCTTTGTGCTTTCCCATATCTCTCTTGCAAGGTTCCCTCGTCTTTGGAGGTAATATAGATGTCTCACATAGGTATGAGCTTTCCAGATCTCTTTCCAAAATCACTTTCTCTGTGACACGAGGCTTTTTCAAGATAATCTAAGTGTAGATTAATAAGTTATAGAACAACCCCAAATGCTGAATATACCCATTGTGAAAATACCTATGTATTCTTTTAAAGCAAGGTTGCTACAACACATGGCAACATCAGGGTATACAAGAAGAGTCACAGTGAGGGCTTAGCATGCATAGTATAGAAGAAAGCAAAGGCCTTGAACCAAACAAGTGACTTTTTACAATAAACACTTGCAATCAATGTTGTAGTTTCTGACACTGTGAATTGACCAAAAATAATGATATTAGATCATGTCTTATTAAATTTACTGCTATTATTAGAAACTAATATCATTTAGTTTAAAATAGAAATCAGTATTAAACCAACTAATGATAAATCAAGGGAAAAATGCACATTGATGAAAACTATAGCTGTATTATAGTATCCACAGTGTTTAAAAATCAGTAAAACTATGAAGGACTGCAGTAATAATGTGAGAGGAGAAGGTTGGAAGGTGGCAGAGAAAATAATTTAGGAATGAGAGTAAATTACACAGATTTTAACTGAAAGAGTGGAAGAAAATTGTTTACTACAGAAACATACAGAAAAAACATAAAACCTAGTAAAACAATATGAAACATTAAAGAAAATAATTACGATGTAGTTAACTGAGAGTGGGTATGTTCAAGAACTAGAATGTGAGAAAGACAAGAAGGAACTGTATAATGAGTAATATAACTACACTGTCAAACAGGGCATGTCCTTGGTGGTTTGTCCTTTTCTTCCTATCTTCCCCATCAGATTTCTTGTAGAAAAATATATGAAGGGCAAGGTGCAGTTTGTAATGTTAGCTCTAATGTAGAAAAATCAAATTTATGGGACTGCTGTTCCCAGAGTTGTTGAATCAACATTTTTTTTGTTTCCTTAGTAAATTTTGATGAGTAACTTATTGTACTTTAGGTCTCATACTCATACTGTGTTCTTGAAGCAATGATGGAGCCTTGTAGCTTCAGGGGAGCGTCAGCTTTGGACGTCAGCTGATCCGAGTCATGCATCAGCTATGCAATCGACCTCATTTGTCCTTTATTAATCTGCCCACAGTGTTCCCAATACTTATTAAGGCATTAGAAGTCAGTGTCTTCCCAGCTTGCCACACACAGGTATCAGCTCTATCATGCATGGCCTTTCCCACTGTTGTCATTGAAGTATTTTGCAGTAAGAATATCTGCTTAATTCTTGGATATGACAATTCTATCCCTGGCTCCACATCTTACTTTTAGCATATTTTCATTTGACAGCTCTTCATGCATGCATGGTTGCAACTTTACAGCTCATGTTTATTTAACATGTGATTCCGAAAGAGACAGTTTGCAATAATAATAGATGCCATTAAATGGTGAAGGCTGGAACTTCACATGAAGATAGTCTGGCTCCCATTCACATACCCCTTTTCTGCCTGTACATCTACAGCTTAAGTTTGTCCTTGGCTTAATATTTTCAGCACAAAGATTTTTAGTGTAGACTATATTTTGGAGCATGTCTTTTAGAATAATGCTAATCAAGAACACTTAAAGTTTTGAAATAAATTCCTATATCCTTAGTCTAAGTAATGAAATTTGTACCTGGGCACTTGATAAATCTTTTCTTTCATGACAGGGAATCTTGACATTCCGGGATGTGGCAATTGATTTCTCTCCAGATGAGTGGGACTGCCTCGACTTTGCACAGAGGGCTTTGTACAGGGAAATCATGTTGGGGAACTACAGTAACATGGTCTCTGTGGGTGAGATTTTTTTCTTTCATGATTCCTTCTTTATCATAATTGTTTCCTACAAGTGTGTTTTACATCTATGTCTGAATTGTCTGCCTCACTTTCATATGTCAGTTTAATAAAAATCTTAGAGTTCATCATTTAGAACACAATGATTTGTGTAACTTTATCTTGTCAATATACTCCTGACTCCTGGAGATGGCATTCATCATTCAAACATTTATAATACATTTTACTTTTCAGAAACACCATAGATTATATATTGATTTGTAACTTAATGATTCACAACATATTTGCATTTAGATTCAGTAGTAATTTACAAAGAAACTCAAAGTGCAGAACATTTAAAAAGTGCTTTTGAGTATTTTAAAATATAGGGTGATAGCAACTAGGTAATCATATTTCGAATTTTATGTTACATGCCATCTTATATAGTATTGTGGTTCATTAGAAACCCAAGTGTTTTACTATTATTCCAAGTTTGCTCATGTGTCTCTTCCAATATTCAGGTATTTCAGTGTCAAAACCAGACCTGATCAGCTCCCTTGAACAAAGCAAAGAGCCCTGGAATGTGAACACAGGAAAGAAAGAAGGCAATGAAAAAGGTAAGCCACAACAAAGTATTTGCACATGGAGGAATTCTGTTGTGAAGTAGGGTTTGCAAAGATCTTTACCTGAAATGGTATAAAACTTCACAGTGAATAATTGTCCCAAATTACTTTATAAGCCTCATTCATATGAAATGACCTAAAAATTCACTTTGAATACTTAAATTATGGTATAAATCAGAAGTAATATGATTTGTTGTCATATCCTCAAATGCCACCAGGCCCTGAAATGAACAATATTGAGATGAAAATTAGCATAAAAACTTGTCATGCTGTTTCAAAGAATATTTCTCTGTTTAAGTTCATGTGTGTTTGTTTGCACTCATGATAGTATTACATGGTTTTCACTATTGTGTAGTATCACATAAAATCAGAAAATACAAATTTTATAGTTAAACTCATTTTGGAAAATTGTAGAATTTGTACTTTATGTTAGAATCTACAGAATTTAAAAGATAACTTTTTCTACTTCTGCAAAATATTCTTTAGAAACTAAGAGTTGTTTATCCATACATGTTATTGGTCTATTTTAATATCATCTGAAAATCTCTTAATATCAAAATTTATAATGTTACTTTCCACATAAAGGTTGTGTTTTCTTTTGTGTTTCATCTCTACCTATATTTGAGTTTTCTTGGAGAAGTAAATTTGTATATACTTTTATTATTCATATATACTTTTATTATTTTGAATGCCTCACAATGACTTTCGATCATATTCAGCTTCCCAACTCTTCCCATGTTCTGCTTCCTCCAGATATCTTTGATTTTTTTCTCATCTTTATTTATACTCAGAGTTCGATCTGTAATTTCCATACAATCCTGGGTGTGGAGAATGGCCTGCATATGGTTGAAGTATCAGGAGTTGCACATTTTTGACTTAATGCCCTTTCTTAGTTGGTAGAGCATGAGACTCTTAATTTTAGGGTCTATGGTTTGTGTCCCATGTTGGGCGCCAGATGAAGGATACTCAAAAGAAATCCCACACTAGCTCAGAATTAAGAATAATAGATGTTTAATTATTTAGGGATAGACTCACAAATCAGAATCCTCTGCTGGAATGAAGAACAGCAACCGAGGCCAGAAGCACTCTTTACGTCTGCAAAAATAGTATAAGAGGCCACGCCCAAGTGGGTGGGTAACTAAAGGCTACTGGCTGTGGGATTTCCTACAGCAGATATCTTTGATTTTTTTCTCATCTTTATTTATACTGAGTTCAGTCTGTAATTCCCATACAGTCCTGGATATTGAATATGACTTGCAATATGGTTGAACTATCAGGAATTATACATTTTTAAAATAAACTTTATGCCCTTTCTCCAAACATCTTTCAGATGATAGGAACTTCCCAGGAAATTTTACGTCTTCAAATCCCCTCAGGCTTTCTTCTTAGAATTTTAATCTGGCTTAAGCTTGCTTGGGATGATGCATGCTATCCTAATCACCTGAGTTCATATGGGCAACTGTCATGTAGTATAGAAAGCACTACTATTTTTATAGTCATTCATGCCTTCCTGGCCTTAACATTATCACTCTGTCCTGAATGAGCTCTGAACATTCCATGGAATGGGTTTGACATAAACATACTAGTTAGAACTAAAAGTTTTCTTATTGTTTCTACCATGTCCACCTGTGAGTCAATTTTAGTTATCAAAATTCACCAGAAGCAATGGGAATGAAGGACTAGAGATGTAAATCTCTGTGGGTAAACCAATAAGACATCAGGAATAATTAAATACTATATCCAAGCAGCAGAATAATGGTAGTAGGAGGTACTTTTTATCTCTTAATAATTCTTCTTGACTTAGCATGAGCATTCCTCAAACTATTTTACAAAATTAAAGCAGCAGAACACTGAATTCTTTTGTGAAGATAGTTACCCTGATACCTAAACCATATATACACACAAAAAGTAACTGAAAGATATGCCAATTTCATTGTAAACATTTATGAAAGTCCTCAATAAAATATTTTCATCCTGAATCCAATAGCATATCATAAAAGGTGATCTATTGTAGGCTTCATCTCAAGACATATAGTAGGTCAACAATTTAAAACCAATATATGTAATCTACCACTTAACAAACTGAAAGTCAAATTCCAGATGTTTATCTTATTAGATGCAGAAAAGCCTTTGACAAAATTAACAACCCATTTTGATAAAAGTCCTGGAGAGATTAGGGATGCAAGAGACTTACCTCCAAATGAAAGACACAATTTACAGCAAGCCTGTATCCCACATCAAACTAAACCGAGAGATATTCAAACCTTTCCACTAAAATAGGGAACCATTTAAATGGTACTCACTCTCTCCATATGTATTCAATACAGCACTTGAAATCTTAGCTAGAACAGTAACATGGATGAAGAAGATCAAGAATTGATGAATAGTAAAGGAAGAGATCAAAGTAACAAATGCTATGATTTAGGTTTACAGACTCTAAGAACTCTACCAAAAATCTCCTACAACTGAGATAAACTTAATCAAAATTAAGGGATGCAAAATTAACTAAGAAAAGCAGTAGCGCTCCTATATAAAAATGAGAAAAGACTTAAATAGAAGTCAGTGAAATGATGTCTTTTACAATAGCCTCAGAAAATAGTTTGGGGTAATTTGAAATAAAAAAGTGAAAGACCCTTATAAAAACCTTAAGGATTGAAGAAATGAATTGAACATGATATCAGAAGATAGAAAAAATTCCCCTGCTCAAGGATTGGTCAATTGATGTAGTAAAAATGAATATCTTATTGAAAGTAATGTACTAATTCAGTGAAAATCCCATCAAATTTCTAACACAATTCTTGAAGATTTCAAAAAGACAGTCTTCAACATCATATAGATACAAACAAACAGAAAACTCACTATAGTTTAAACAATCATGAAAAGTAAAACTATATGTGTGGGGTATTATCCACAATTTTAAATTATTCCACAGTTATATAATCAGAATTTGTACTGTAATTATATGGTTGAAAAACTGATATATTGATGAATAAAATCAAATTGTAGATACTAACATAAGTTAACTCATCTATTCCAACTTGTCAAAGAATCAAGAAAGATAAATTTAACAAAAAGAAAGCATTTAATTCTAATCTTTACCTAATTTTGCACCCCTTAATTTTGATTAAGTTTGTCTCAGTTGTAGTAGATTCTTGGTGGAGTTCCTAGAGTCTGTAAACCTAAATTCATTGCATCTGCATATAAAGTTCCTTTAATCTCTTCCTTTACTATTCATCACTTCTTGATCTTCTTCAAGCTATTATAGTTTTCCTAAGCTATTTCCAATAGACCACAGGTCCCCAAGAAAAATTAGTTTATGAACTGGGATAAGAGTCACTCTTACAAGAAATCCCCATACCCAGTAGTTGATGGATACCAAAGATACAACTCAGTGGAATATTTATACATTCTTTTTGCCAATAATGTTTAGTTTGGGAATTTATTTATATTTATTTTTTGACCTTATGGTATCTGTAGTAGGAGCTGCGGGCTGCATTCCTGCCTGGATCCCGCATGGCTAGCTTAGCCCTGGAAATAATAACACACAAATTGTATTCTTTTAAACACTGCTTGGCCCATTAACTCTAGCTTTTTCCTGGCTATCTCTCACATCTTGATTAACCCATTTCTAATGAGTGCAGCACCACGAGGTGGTGTCTTACCAGGAATATTCTTAATCTGCATCCATCTCAGAGAGGAGAGTCATGGCGACTGCTTCACTTCCCTTCTTCCCAACATTCTGTTCGGTCACTCCGCCTATCTAAGTTCTGCCCTATCAGGCCAAGCAGCTTTCTTTATAAATTAAGCAATGAAAGCAACAGATAGACAGATGACCCTCCTCCATCTTGAAGGAACAAATTCCCAAAACACCAATTCACAATATGGCTTTATCATTATTTAAACACATAGAATAAGTCTGTTTTTCCTAAGAGCCAATACATACACAATAATTGTAAGGAGAATTTTTTTATTATAACATACACCTTTATTTTTGTTCCAGCATGAACAGAAACAAGAGAAGCATTATATAAGCAATCAAAATGAAGAAAGTCAAAACAACACTATGGAATGTGGAAGGTGCTTATACAGATGTGTATGCCTCACTATGCATAAGAGAATTAATCCCAAAGAGAAGGAATACAAATGTAAAGATTGTAGCAAATCATTTACCCATCATGCAAATCTCCAAGCTCACCAGAGAATCCATACTGGTGAGAAACCTTGCATATGTCAAGCATGTCTCAAGTCCTTTACCCAGGTGTCAGTTCTTCACAGACATCACAGAGTCCAGACTGGTGAGAAACCTTACACGTGCCAAGAATGTGGCAAGTCATTAACCAGGGCCTCAACTCTTCACAGTCATCACAGAATCCATACTGGTGAGAAACCTTACAGATGTCAAGCATGTGGCAAGTCCTTTACCAGGGTCTCAAATCTTCACAGTCATCACAGAATTCATACTGGTGAGAAACCGTACAGATGTCAAAAATGTGGCAAGTCTTTTGGCCATGTCTCAACACTTCATAATCATCAGAGAATTCATACTGGTGAGTAACCTTACAGATGTCAAGCATGTGGCAAGTCCTTTACCGAGATCTTAGCTCTTCATGCTCACAGTAGACTTCATAATGGTGACAAATCTTACAAATGTAAAAAAATGTGGCAAGTCCTTTAACACAAAATCAAGTCTTAGAAAGCATCACAAAATTCATATATGATGTACATTTCATAAAATTTCTTAGTATACCTCACAATAATTCATTGTACAGTTCTTCATACATTAACCAAGATATTACAGAGACTCATATCCTTCAATTAATTTTTAAAGCTTAGTGAATACTTAGACAGCTTTAAGTTCTTATAAATTTAGAAACATTGTATCCAAATTTGAACTTTATTTTCATTAAACATTTGTTGTAAACTGAGTTTATGCATCATTGTTGTAAACATACCATTCAAGCATTAACTATTATAAATAAGTAAATATTTCTAGTAGGAGTAAATTAAGCAATAACATTTCTTGACTGTATGTTTAGAAATGTGTTAAAAAACATCCAGTTGGGGGCTGGAGAGATGGCTCAGCGGTTAAGAGCAATGACTGCTCTTCTAGAAGTCCTGAGTTCAATTCCCAGCAACTACATGGTGGCTCACAATCATCTATAATGCAATCTGGTGCCCTCTTCTGGCCTATGGTCAGGATACTGTATAAATAAATAAATAAGTCTTTAAAAAAATCCAGTGTCATACTATTTCAGATTTTGATGCGTATTTACTTTCTTGGTATATGGTTGCCTATGTAATGAGATTATGCTCTATGTAAAGATTATTTTCCTGTGATTTTTGTGATATTAAATAAATATCAGCTTGTATTATATTCTGTGCCTTTGCAATAAAACTGTTAAGCATTTTGACTAATTTTTATTGTATTTTTTTTGTTCTGATAGTCTGTTCTCTAATGGCTGGGTATCATAAGTGTGAACTCTTCCAATAGTGACAGCAACAATGAAAATATGTCATAAAATAGATGTAGATTTGTCACGGGATGTGTGTACAGTAGAAATGGATTGGTGGGATTGATTTAATAGGAAGATTGGATGGACAATATTTAGGCATGTGGTATAGACAGGACTTCTGGGCAGAGAGAGAAAGTAGGAGGAAAAATTGAGTCCTGCAGGTGAGTTGCTAGTAAACAGGGAGGAAGGAGCTTGTGAGGTGTGTGGCAGAGTGTAGGCTAAAACTATGGATTAGTTTAGGTTATTAGACCTAATATTGGAAACAAGCCTATCTTAAGGCCAAGCATTCATAATAAGTAGTCTCCCTGTCATTTGGGAACTGGTAGGACAGAGAATGACACACTACATAGATTACTTTAAACTTTGTATAATTGAGGTTCAAATCAGTGTGAGGTAGTTGAATGATACCAATGGGCATGCAAAGCTGGCCAAAGAAAAGCTACAAGGCACCAATATCAAACAAAGAACTCTAGTCATTTAGGAAAGCAGGGAGTAGGAGAGGTGCCATTCCCCAAAGAACACATAAACTGCTTGTCCAATAATAGTAACATTGTATTGGTTGGTCTCCTTGTATTTAGGAATATATGCATATAAAATTTATGTATAAAAATATCAATGCATGAAAAAAGGGCCAACTTGAAGGAGAACAGAGATGTGTGGTATATAGGAGAGTTGGAGGGAGAAAACTGAAGGTACAAAATGCTGTAATTTATAGGGAGTACAAGGTTCATGTGCTCATAGATAGCACTGGGGAAGTCAGGAATGTTAGACACACACGGTTGTCAATTCAATGAAAATATGTATACTCTATTTTCTACTCTGACAGCTGGAGCTGGTGGTGGATAATAGCCCATACATATTATCTTTGTGCTAATTATGTGACCAGGCCATACCAAACTCCCAGAAGCAACACTGGACATACTTAATATTCAAATTGTCAAAAGAGTTTGTATGTTCACCTTCGTAGATATGGACAGAGGGGGGAGGACCTTGGACTTTCCACAGGGCAGGGAACCCTGTTTGCTTTTTGGACTGGAGAGGGAGGGAGAGAGGAGTGGGGGGAAGGTGAGGAGGGTGGGAGGAGGGGGAGGGAAATGGGAGGCTGGGAGGAGGCTGAAACTTTTTTTTCCTTTTCTCAATAAATAAAAAATAGAAGTGAAATCAGTTCACTTTGCTTAGAGTAGGAGAAAAACATGAACCAACTTTCTTACAATAGAATTGATTACAGTGTTGATTTACAATAAACATACCTTACTTGTTATATCTTCCAACAAATAATCACATAATCTTTAACATCACATAGGATTCCTTGTGTAAAGATTACTTTTCCCTACTTAAAATCATTGAGCCCCAGTAGTACACTTGAGGCTTATCAGCATGAGTCTAACCACAGCGTCCATCTTGGGCAGGAGAACCATGGCCTCTCGACTCTGCCCTTCTTCCTCCCAGCATTCCATCCTATCCACTCAGCCTACCTAAGTACTACCCTATCAGAAGGTCAAGGCAGTTTCTTTATTCAACCAATGAAAGCAACACAAATACAGAAGGGCTTCCTACATCAAACCTACATTTCTATATTCTTATTCTTGGACTGTTCAGGTACAATAAAATAAGTAAAATGCTCCTATGTGATTCCTAACATTAAATGAATCTGTTCTTTGCAGAAAGAGACACATGTTGGAAACAGAACTTAGTGGCTGTTAAGGGTTTTGAAGGAGGACTGGAGTCCAGTGGTGTGGAACAATTCTATATTCTGTCAATTATGGTTTAAATAAATGCTGATAGTGGTGTGGGACAATTCTGTGTTCTATTACATTTTCAATAAATGCTAATTGGCCAGTAGCCAGGCAAGAAGTATAGGCGGGACAACCAGACAGGAAGTAGAGGTGGGTCAATGAGAACAGGAGAATTCTGGGAAGAGGGAAGCTCTCTCCCCAGTCCTGTCCAGACACAGAAGAAGCAAAATATGACCTGCCTCTCTGAAAAAGGTACTGAGCCATGTGACTAACATAGATAAGAATAATGGATTAATGTAAGTTTTAAGAGGCAAGAAGAAGCCTGAGCTAATGGGCTAAGCAGAGTTTTAACGAATACAGTTTTCGTGTGATTATTTCAGGGCTCAGCTAGCTGAGCAGCCAGGGTGAAAAATAGACTCTCATGTTACAATCCAGGCCTTTCCTTCTTCAGTGTTGCAATAAAATTTCCCTGCTGCTATTTACTAGAGTGGAGACAATAGCAGACAAAGTCATGGTCATCCAAGATTCAGGCAATGGTGAAGGACAATTTTACATTTTTAATTTGAAATTTAGGCACACAGAGGCCTCAGAAGATATAGCTGCATGGACAAATATAAAGAAAATGGTCTGTGAAGAAGCATGCGGATTCAAGAGATAAACATTCATGAATATAATTTAGCCCTAAAATATAAGCTTACACAGAATTCTGAAATATTTAAATTAGAAAATCACAGGTAGGAAAGCCAGGGAATCCAGTTGTCCAGTGATATCAGGATTTCCATTAGAATTGCATACTGTTTGTAAAGTCACATGATTATTATCTTTGAGTTATGGGAACCACAGACTGGACTTAAGCACATGTGTAAGACTGAATTTCCAGGTCATTATATTTGGCTTATGATGTTCTGTGCATAGAAAGCATATGAGTCCTTCCATTCAATTGCATATCCTGCAGAGGTCTTTATCATTACTTTTCCAACCTCATTTATCTTAAAGATAAATTTGTTATATTTGTAAAAGTATATTTTTTATAAAGCATTATTATCTTTATTATGGCATAAGGCAGTACTTTATACAGTGTGTCATCTGAAGATAAAAATAGTTTATGTACAACTGCAGAAGAAACAGTACACAGACATCCTCAACATAAAAACAGATAAATTCAAAATCCAGGGTTATCTGAAACTGGAAAATATTTTCTCTGTAGAAAATATTAAAAATGATAACATTTCCCAATTCACCCATTTAAAGCAAACAACGGCAGAATATATATATATGTATATATATATACGTATATATATGTATATATATATACGTATATATATATATAATGTTTAGATTCTGGGATATAGGAGAAACCTAACTTCATTTGTTCTGTGAGCTATGCTTTACTTATGCTGTGTAAATGTGATTCCAATATCTTCCTCTCCACTGTTTGATTTATGGCAGATCATTTTTCCACAGGCTAATCCAAAAGGTATTAGCCTCTTCCCCTGAAAGTAAGGCCAGCATGTCCTGCCATCAGCTTGCTATGGCAGAAATTCTTATCTTAATAGTGAAAGGTTTAGCTAAAACATACCCAGTGAAGTGACAAAACCAAAACGTATTGTAAGACACAGTTTTTGCTGGGTGTTTCTGTCCTGCCCAGTCTTGCAGTCATTCAGCCCCAAAGAATCACACAGAGGTCTACATTAATTGTAAACTGATTGGCCCAGTAGCTCAGGCTTCTTATTAATTAATTCTTAATAACTTATATCAGACCATAATTCTTTTCTGTGTTAA